CGCCGACGTCACCAAAGCTACAGTACCAAGTCCGACGAGCGACGAACAACGCAGAACGAGAACGCTCCGACCATCCGGGCCGACATCTCCACCCACAGCGTCTCCAGCAGGGCGGCTTGGCTTGGACTTCGTCGTCGATGTCGTTGTCTTAGCTGGCTCTGGCTCTGTAGCTGAAGGCGCCAAACCCGCTTGTGCTGTGCAGTCTGCAGCGTGCACCAGAAGAAACCCCGGTCCTGCCGCCGACCTCGTCCGCCCATCCATTTCAGGTATTCCTGCGGCGCACTCCCTCTCTACACCCACCACTACAATCTGCATCGCACCCCCAGGGCCCAGGGTTACAGTAGCGAGCGATCCAACCCGGCCACAAGCTAGGTTTAGGAACCTACTGTACCATACAGTTCCAGAGGAGACCCCAAGACACCCCAAGGGAAAATTACCCACCTACTGGCCGGTGTATCTCCACTCCGTTCCTCTCTCTCATCAATTGGTTTTGTCCAACTTGCCCTCGAAAACTTTTATTATAGTCTTCTGCTCCCACGTTCCTTGTCTGGATTCGTTTTTCAGCCTCTTCCAGCTCTGCCTAAGCTCCGTCACGATATGTTACTGAAACTTGACTGTCCGGTTTAACAAAGCTTTCTCGACTCCGTTTCCCCAACCTCAATCCACTTCCTCTCTTAGCGTGGGAGCGCTTTTGCGGGACACTTATACACAAGCCTTGGATATCGGTGTCGATAGAAACCCACTATATCCTCCCTCCACCTTGGCCGGACCGAGCATACTCGACTCGAACTTGGTCACCTTGGATCCTACATATCTGGCTTTCGTCAAGAAACGACCGTTTCCACGATTCTCTAGCTCGCCGTTTAACCTCAAGTCGACTGCACCTTGAGCCAGTCTGCACCCGCCAAAATGATAATTGATGGAGAAAAGTATGCTTGCGAGGCTTGCGTCCGCGGCCACCGCGTGAGCAACTGCCAACATTCCGGTAAGTCGGAACTCAAGACTGAAGTTATGGGTTATCGGTCCCAGTCATTACCTTTGGCTGGATGTAAACCCAGTACTCGTCCATGGACATTGCTCCAAGCTTAGCTCTGTTCTCTGTACTGACCATAATCCCTTCGATAGACCGCCCTCTTCAACACATCAACAAGAAGGGTCGACCAGTTTCCCAATGCGCTCACTGTCGCGCCATGCGTAAGTCGCGCTCTGCTCACGTCAAGTGCGACTGCGGCGAGAAGACAAGTAAATGTGCCCACTTGCAGCCAGCCGTTGAGGGGCACACTGGTGAGCTTCCTCTGGTTTCTCGAGGTGTTACAGACCTCGAGACGCTCGACACAATTCGCATTTTCTAAAACTTTCGCAGAGACATGTTGCTGTAACCATGGTGGCCCCTGCAGCTGCTCTCACAAGAACGAGCCTGCTCTTGACACCGTTCCTGAATCTGACTCGGAGCGCGAGTCTTTGACCCTTAGCATTAGTGGCCGTCCGAAGCCTCCGGGTCGACGACGACGAGCCAACACGGTCCACTCAGACGGGGTCTTGACCTTCGATCAGCACGGCAACCACAAGCCTGCTCACCGAAGCAACCGGGTCTCGCAAAAATGTGGCCCATATCAGCTTAACAGGGTGAACTCGGCTCACAGCACTGGCAGCTTAGGCGCCGAAAGCATGCTGCAGAAGAGCACACGGGAACCTCCCAGTAGCCGAGCACGCGCTGCTACCAACCGAGAGCGAAGGGTCAAATCAGAAACCGCATCGCCCCTGATGAGTGGTGCGAGCAGCTTCCAGAACCTCAATGGCAACCTGCCTCCTCTGGACCTTTCAGGCATCGAGTACCCTCCTTATATGGCTAACAGTACGTTTGATCTGTTTGGATCTGGTTTCAATTCAGAGACAGATGCCCCCATGTACAGCGCTGGTCTCAGTGCTGCCTCAGTCGACTGGAGCCACTATGATCTTTCAGAGATGAAGGGCGAGAGTTTCACGCCTTCCAGTTATAGCCAGGCCGGTACTCAGAGCTTCAATGGCCTCTTCGATTTCGGTAGCGGTTCAGAGCACCTTCCCCACCTGGCAAACACTACATCGACCTCGGGCGAGGTTTCCGAAGTGGAAGATTTTCTTCCCGGAGGAGACGGCGACTATGACGGCCTGGAAGGATTCAGCCGTGCCGATAGCTTCATCCGACAGAACGGCAACGTGATGACCAACTCGACCGACCTCACTACCATCGACTACGACAGCTTCTACAAGGGAGCAGATAGTGGCCCTATGGCGGGAGCCGGTCTATCCATGGTCGAGGACGACCCTGCCTTCTGGATGCCCAATTACAACGAGGGCATCACTACAATGGACGAAAGCCCCGAGCCTCTCGGCCCTGCTTCAGTGCCTAGCTTCTGGGGCATCTGAGAAATTATCGAGCTTTCGAATATTTTGGCGTACACAATACCCATTGGGTTTTTTTATTTCAAGTCATTAGGGTGACGCACCGGCAGGCGTTGAAAAATACCAAACGAATTGAGGCCATGAGAGGCATGGCTTCTTTTACTCATTTCGCGTGAAGAGCGCAACATATATACGTTTTATACAGAGCGAATCTACGCTCACAACCACCCGCAAACCAATCGCATCTGCACGATGCCTAGGTTTCTTGCGGTGATGATTACGACAGACAACACTCTCATCCATGAAGTAGACGGTTTGAGAGTATTGATGAGCATGAGTTTTCCTACTATCGGCTAGGAGGGATGGAAAGGATAGAGCAGGCGCAGATGGCTTTCTGAATTACACAAGAAGCAGAGCAAGGACAAAGAAGAGACGAGCAGTGCAATATGTTTGGATGATTTAGCTTGCGAAAAGAAATGTGATCAAGACAGACAAAATTCAGTTTGAAAGCAATGGCTGACGGACCATGGCAATCAGACCAAGGGAAGAAGACTAGGTTGCACTGGTGGTCCGTCGACCTGCGCTCGATTTGATCTGCATGGGGAATTTACAAGCTGAGCGATGCAAGAAGGAGGGAGATTGCATATTCTAGACTCGTTTGTCAAGCAGTTATTGCGTCTGTTGACTCAATTGTTTATCATCGTTCTTTGTTATTTTTGGTTCGATGTTTCTGCTTCTGGTCTCAATCTGGGTACGATGAAGAGTACTCGGCATGACTTGATTTAACGCAATAGACTTTTATGACTGAGGACCAAGACCAACCGAGTCGAGGTCCATGAGCCAACACCACCAAATACCGTTCCACCATACATATTTACATACGTTGGGTGATTGTGTCGATATGCATTGAGGATCACTGACACCAGCTTGCTTCGAACTCCGGCAGTATCACTTGTCATTGCTTCAAAACAACATCACACGGATCCCATTGCAGCCCATCGTCGGACGCCCGGAGACGAAGTGGTTCGACCAGCCAAGTTGCGTGGTGCACGAGATATCCAAAAGGATGCCTTCTGCTGTCTAGGGGTCTAATGCAAGAGGTGCTCGACCAACAACAATGCCAGGTCTCTAGGCCTGATTTCAGAAACAGCCAGCGTTTCTTTCATATTGTTGGTATCCTATAGGCCCGCGCGCAAGCCGCCACAGATGAGCACCCTATTTCTCTGTCATTTCTTTTCCACCCCATGATTCCAGGGATCCCCAAGCCGGGGTCAACAGGGATTTAAGGAAGACGTGGCACTTGGACCAGGACATCATCAGCCCTCTGCATTCGATGTGTCTTGCTTTACGTACAAGCTCTGGTGATGTTCCTGGTTGTTTCTAGACAATGTCGATCATCCGAGGTCCCCATGAAAATAGTACGGAGGCTGGAAACTGTCATGAAAGATGTCACCAAAGACCCCACACACATGAAAGATTCTTTAGCACATCTACATGTACGCTACTTGTTTTTCTCGAGCTCGGAGATGCACACAGATAAAACATACAGATGCACTTTGCTTTTTTCCGTACTCTGCTTCTGTGTTGTACATGCATCTAACGGTCCATACCGGGTCCGGGCCGGCACAGAAGCATCAGCTCAGTGATGCAGGGCCTGGCCTGGTCTTTTTCTTCCTGGCCTGCAGTCCAAGTTGCATTTGGAGGGGGGCGTACAGCGCATGTACGTACTTCATATCAAGCAAAGAAGGTTTCTATACTGCTTCTGAAAATGGAAGCCAGGTACGGTAGACAAAACATGCGTCTCGCATGTATCGGCCACGACAGCCAACCACACAAGCTAAGTAACTAACAACTTGGCAAGCAAAGCATAGCCTCAAGGATTTCAGTCTAGCCTCTCTAGCCTCTTTATCGTTTGCACGGCTAAGCTAAGCGGAGCCAGAGTCTCCACGTACCTTGTTACTAACTACTAGGTAACCTTTTGTCTTCAACTACGGAGTACTGACCGACGGCTTCACAACCAAGTCCTGTTAACCCTGAGTCCCTAACTAACAACTAGTCTATCGGTAGTCGGGTGGGAGAAGCCTCTAATTCGATAAAGACCCATTTACGTAAACTCAATTCTCCCATTACTCGTTTCCCGAACCGTCGGATTTTCTTAGCTTGGTCCGGTACTCGGAGAGGGAAGAGGTAGTGTCGATCAGGTACGGCTAGAATATGCAAGATTTTGACTTTTTCTCCCTCGACCCTACATATGTAACAGTTCGAGCCATGATTGACCAGACAAGCTTGTGGACAGCGTGGGAAAAACTCTGTTTCGGAACCGCTACTGCACACAGAGTAGAGCTTCGGTTGTGCAACGTTGTAATAGGACAATTATGGGATTTCAAATATCAAAGTTGATAAGTATCAAAATAGTATCTCAACAAAACCCAAACGCCATCGTTCATGGCACAAGCTTGGCACTGTCATCTACTGTCATCGTTCCGCATTTTCCGTTACCCCAGTTTAACAAGTACCAAAAAGGGGAATAATAATTATACAAATCCCATCGCCTAACAATGGTCATCGCCTCTTCACACGTGTGCGTACAGGTCTTGTTGTGTTTTTTGAATGATGCCCTACGCCATATCCAAATACCCTGATGCCAACGATGGCCCAAATGAGATATCATCACCTCCCGGTGCAATGCCCTCATGTGCTGTGGCAAGATCTGCCAGGTGTTGAAGGCCTTGGCTCGCTGCCGCCTCCACTGACGATGTTGGACGCAAGAATTCCGAGAGTTTGTCGCGAACACCATTCCACATTTCGTTTGGCTTTTCCACAATGCCCTTGATCAGCTGTGTGGCTTCTTCTCGCGACTTGTCGATCTTGACAAGCTTCGCCAGAGACATCGTGATAAGAGACACAAAGTGATTGACGAGTGGACTGCGTAGGTGCTCGTTTGCAAAGAGAAGGTTGATCACTTCCTTGGTAGGCCATAACGTTTCGGTCGGCGTAGCGCCTGGTGTCAAAAGCACAACCATGAGCTTACAGTGCCAGTATGCTAGATGCACCACGGGATGCGACGTAGCCAAGATATGCGCAGGGAGATCTTCTCGGTAGTTCTCGACATAATCTGCGAGTATGCGTGCCACTATCTCCTCGGTTGTGGACATTCCGAGCTGCAATGTGAAGATAGCTTGCCACAGACAGTTGAGCAGCTTTGAAAGTCCTAGAGTCTCGGTCAGCGATCAACTACCTATAGTGAACTAGTTATCACTTACGAGCAAGGTAAAAGCACACATCTCCCAGGATCTTCTCCAGGCCAGGAGGAGCGACTGTACTATTGTCGGGTATCATTGGTGGTTTTCCTTTGCCGACAGCATGCCAACGGTCCATCAGGATCAATGACCACCATATCCGCACTGATAGCTGGTCATCTGAGTCCGAGTCGGACTCCAAAACCAACTCGACGGGAGTGTATCGCCATAGATTAATCGAATTGGCCAGACCAACTGCACGAGAAAGCAAGTAAGGCAGAGTTGGTGAAGAACGCCAGTCTGCGTCGATAATAAGCAGCAACAGCGTTTGGGCATGGACAATATAGGTGGCTTGTGTGGCATGGGTTTCATCGCTCTCGCGTTCCATAAGTAGCAAGCTAGCAAGCTTTGTGTCACCACCGGATCCTACGACAGCGGGAAGAGCATTGGCGAATGCATTCTGGACCGATGTTGGGCACTGCGCGAGTAACGCCTGCATTCGATTCTTTGTGCTTGGCAATATCGGATACACAGGGCCAACAGTTGACAAATAACTGAATAACGACATGTTAGTTGCGGAAAAGGGTTTCGGTGACGGATCACTGACCTCTGTAGCATGCTTTCGTCGATGTCAACGGTCTCATGAGCATCTGGCATTGACACGTCCATGGCAGCCACGGGAGGTTTCGAGGGCGTAGTGTCTGGCCTAATGGGTGTAGCTTGGGGTGCCAACGAGTTGTTGTTGTAAGCTGAATATGCTTCAGAAGTCCCTGGTGAGGCCTGCATCCTGTGGTCCGAGCCCCATGGCATTTGTCGCGAGGGTGTAACAAAATCGTTTGTCGAAATACTGGAAAAGGGTCGTTTTCGAGCAGCATCCTCGCCTTGGCTTTGCCGAGGTCGATCTGTGGAAAAGAGTCTGTCGATGTCGTCTTGGCTCAGGCCTCCATCGGACTCGAGCTTGTTTTCGATGCTATGGATGCGATCTGCAAGTTCTTTGATATATCTGTTGAGGCTGTCAGTTTTTGACTTTCAGTGCGTAATTGCTTGCAGGTATCAAAACCATACCCTTTACTTGGACCCCTTTTCTGCGGTACGCGGCTGAATAGGCATCTAATGGATGATCTAGCACAACTGGAACAGGGAGCGTCCCCAGTATCTGACTGGGCGTCACACTTGATTTTCTTCCTCCGACACTCGTCGCACGCCCTTGACACCTTTGATCGTTTTCTGGGTGGGATGCTGTTGTCGATAGGGTATTGGGGGCCCATTGGTGGCCCAACAGAAACAGACATGGCGTGCGATACCATTTGGTCGCTCGTCGGAGTATCGTGAACATATGACGGTGTCTGCTGCTGCTCGGGGTCAGGGTGAGGCATGATGCTTCGCAGGTTGGGGTCCTCGACGTTCATGTTGGGGTCTGTGGCTGGCATCATGGGCGCTCCAGCTAGACCTTGGCCTAACTGGGCTGCCAGCTGAAGCTCTTCCAGGTTGGCAGGACGAGGAACGTGCTGCTGAGGGGTTTCCGGTTCTGGAGGTTGCAGGTCATTCTGATTGTGCTCTGGAGCTTGCACATGTTGTACTTGTTCCGGCGCATGATGGTCTAACTGTTCATGATGAGGCTCGTGATGGGACTCATGATGCTCATGGTGCTCGTGCTCTTGGTGGTCTTGAGGGACGTCTCGGCCACTAGTGTTGTAAAAAGGGCCAGCTTCCATTGCCTCAGTGCCGGGCGAGGGATATGAGATGTTGGCATCCTCTGCCTCGTTTTCTAGCTTTGTACTCATGGCTACAGCTGGCTTGACATGCAGATTGTACAGTCGGTTGGCACTCGAGGTATTTTACGGGCGAGGACGATCGTCAATCAACACAATATGCGGAGATGAGTATTGATAGGCGTAATGCCTCAATTGTTGCAATAATGAGGCGCGATATGACGGCGTTCCACCAAATTAAGCCCTGCGCGACGCGCGACGATATCACTGGACGAAGCCATTGTTAGCAATAGTTCGACGCGATGTTGACCAAGTGCACACGATCGCGAACCAAGCGAGGGATGTCACGGAAAGTGATTTTGCAGGCAGATGCGACGACATGATTGTGTTCGTGCTGTTGATTAGGAAAGCTATATCTTGGTCATGGCGACTTACACGACTCTTGTTCTGGGATCTCGGAGCTGGATAAATGCGATACGACGGCGACGCCTCGACGGAGGAGGAAGAACTCGGCGCCGATGACTTGGATGGGCTGCCCTTGTGTGGGTGTTTTTGACAAGATCACGGAGAAGGAAGAATTTTTCGGAGTCTGGCGGGAAATGCTCGGCCTCAATTCGTGCTCGCTTAGTAAGCTACCCTAGAGCTCGGTGTCATAGGCTGACAACCACCATGTAATTAATCGATGAGGCAGTCATCATCATTCTATCAGCTTCATAGAGCATAAAGACAATTTCAGGTTTCCATGATGTATGACAGTCAAGTCTCTCTCAGCCGCTTCAATTTATCAGCTCGTGAATATCCATACCATACCAATACAAGTCATCGTGTTCTGGACAGTTGAATCAGATGGGAAATACAGGTATACAAAGTTGCAGTCTTGTTGTTCTGTACAGCAACTCAAACATAAGAACCACGATCAGGAACACGCACCCCCCAAAACGTCATATAGAAGCCCCATGACTTTCCTAGGATACATAGGTTTACGAACCCCGGGTTCCTGAAATTATACGCACACCGAGGGACTTATGACAAGCCACGATCGAAGTTAAAGGAAGCTGGAATACTAAACAGCGCGAAAGGGGTGGAATAAAGCCCGTGCCATGTCCCTGAATGCATCCTACTGGGGAATAGTGAAGAATCATACCTGTATTATACAAAGTCTCCTCCAAGCTTAGGCCCCCTCGAGATGTTTCCTAAAACTTGAAGTCACGTAGGCAGGCAAACATGCAGAGACCAGACAGAGAGCACAACTATATAGAATTGAAGCGAATGCAGTACCCAAAAACACGATGTGAGGTAAGAGTCCTTGACACCTGAAGACCAGGGGCCAGTAAACAACAACCTGCCTATCTCTCGTTAGCGCACCTGGAAACGTTTCCGCATATGTTGTGTAGCCGCAAGATCTTCATTAAGGGATGAACTGAAGATGGAAATAGCAGCGGGATGGTGTATTGTAGTTCGAGCTTAAAGCTTAAGTTAAATATTACTGCAGTTACGCGGTGGGAGTGGAGGTCACAACAGGTCACTTGTAAGTGACTTTAGTGAAGAGATAGTTGGGTTGCAGTAGCATTTTTGTTAATTCATCGTTAATGCTCAGAGCTGCTTCCTAATATGTAACAGGACTCGGTCTTTTAATGTTTCCGACGCTAGGTTTAACTCTCGATGTAACCAGACAGAATGGGGTATTGGCTTTAAGTGATATCTGTGATAGTGTCTTCGATGCCAACATGGAATGAGAGAAAGGGGATTATAAGTTGACAAGGAGAGCGCTGGATCAGCGCAAATTGAATTGTAGTCAATGGTTATCTCAAAGGGCTCCCACAATGAACTCATTGGGGGTTGAAAGGCCTTCTTGTTCAGTGGTCATTGCTTGGACAAGAATCCACCTGTACATGGAAGGTAAATTGGTAACCATGATCATCAAGGTTTCTAGACTGACCTGAAGAAGCGCCGGAATCACCCCCCTAACTTGGGTCTGGGACTCTGGGGAGGGATGCCTGAAAAACCTCAACTGTTAGGGTTACATCCATGACCAAGGAAATGCTACCCGTCCACCATATAATATACTGGCACACAGACTGGAAGCCATATCTGATACAATCAAAGCTGCTGAGCATTCGATTTGCCCTCTGGTGTATCAGGATGCTAGCTACCTACAGGCCCCTGTCGACACCACGGCTGGATGGCACGTTGAGACTTTTGATGTTGTCTCAATAACCCCTGGCAGCCACATTCTCGGCGTTGTTTTCCGCGGCGGAGGCTAGCGGGTAAGTCGATACCCTTGTGATCCCAGATGAGGTCCTCGCTTGACTGTAAATAACAATCAAGGATCGCTCATCAGCGGTTGGTAAAAAGAAGGAAGTTATATGTTTTCTTCTGTTGGTATTTGCTTTACTTCAGACGCAGCCAATGAGACAAGAAAAGCTATCTACTGTAACAACTCACAGACGAATCGTCGCTCGAAGAAGGTTGTATATTTAGTGGAGTGTTGGTGACGAAGTGGTGGAACGAAACTGCTTGCTTTTTGCCTCGACAATTGATACATAAGTGACTGGCAAATAACAGCCCACACTTTTGCTTTTGCTTTTGCACTTTGGGGGTCTAAGGGGTTGAGGCAACCACAAGTCGAACAGCGGCCTTTCACTCTGATGCAGCTGAATAAAGTCTCCGAAATCCACTTACACGAGCAATTTGACACTTCGAATGAAATATCTCGACTCAGTGACAAAAGTTGTCCCGAGTGAGAGGCCGGAGGCGTTCAAAACATGGAGACTTTTGAACAAGCCCAGGGATAGGAGAGTGGGTACTATTTAGAAGAGTTCCGGGAACTCCTAGTGGGCCAAGGAGCGCTATAACAGCCCTGGAAGAAAAGTGTGGTTGCAGCCGGAGCGGCAGTCGTGGGATTAATGCTTGGGCTGATTGATTGGATTGGATGGACCAATTTCGTTGACGATTCCAGAATCTCTCGAGTCTTGTGCACCATTGGCCTTCGACTGCCTCAGTAGTTAGAGCGAGTAAAGGACATGAGGTTCTAGAGCCCTGCATCTCGTCTTTCTTACTCGGGCTTTCTCTCGATTAGCTTGATCTTAACCAAGCCATGTCTCCTAATTGCTCTATGCTTACCTTAGGTTATTATGGATATTTGTTGAAACGACCCGACCCTACGCCGTAATAATTCTCCTTATACCCGCGCTGATGTTATGGATCCCTGAGTTAATTACCCTATTAACCTAGTTCCCTAGTAGGGCGACAACTGGAGGTGCACGTACGTACTACGTAGTATGTACATACATAGTATGGATTTTATCCTTGAACCTTGTCTCGCTCTCTCTGAGCAATGCATGCGCATGCAAATGCAAATGCAGGGCAAGGCAAGCTTGTTAGTTGATTCGGCGATATGACAACCGCAAAAGTCCCTGCCCTGGCCTGCTTTGACTTAGCTCCTTTGCTTCTAAGGTTTCCTGCTAAGTTTATTTCGTAACCCGCGCGTTACCTTACCTCACCTTGCCTTACTGTCTGTCTACTGTAGCATCCACTCGCTCGCTTGTTCGTTCGCTTTCACTCTCTTTTCTCTTGTCTCAGGCAATTTTTGATCTCCGAGTATCCCGTCTCTCCCTTTTGTTTTTGTTTTTGTTGAAACGCCCTTCTTTCCTTGAAATGGCATCATCGGCTGCCTGTCTCTTGCCGTAGGGTTTCGGGTTATTCTCTCTCTCTCTCTCTCTCTCTCTCCTCTGCTTCACTTTTCATTCTTCAGCAACAACACACTTTCGACTGGAACTTACACAGCGGCATTACACTTTCAATGACGCAGACAGTAAACCTTTTCCGTCGTCCCACAGCAACTGATCTCCCTTGTCACTTTTGAAGTTAGGTCGCACAATTGTCGACACCAACCTCACCCATCCCAACATGTTGCTAAGCATGGATGTCATGAAGGTGCGGGATTGGACCTATCTTGAGGACCCCCCTCAAGACATTGGCCCAGCTCGACATCTTCTTGAAGTTTACAGCAAGATTCCTTACAACGATTTAGATGGCCACATACGCCGCGTCGTAAGTACATGTCCCTGAACACTAACACATGAGCTGATATGACCTTCTGCATTCAGCGAGAGAAGGCCTGGTGTATCTCCCAGTACCCTTGCGTTGGGCGATGGAAATTTCTCTACATCCCGGACCCCAAAGATCCTCGTTACCAACAAGCTCTTTTCCGCCTCAACGTCGCCGGCTCTAGAGATGTCCTTCTTGATCTGGGATGTGGGGTTGGACAAGTAATTCGGCAGTTTCGTGCAGATGGAGTTGACGGCGCTCAACTCATTGGCACCGACCTGCAGTCCAAGTTCATCGATGTTGGCTACGATTTGTTTCAGGACAGGCACTCCCTCAACGCAACATTTGTTGCGGGCGACATGCTCGATCCCGCCGACAAGGAGATGGCCTTGTTGCGCGGCAAGATCACCATGGTTCATGCAGGCAGCTTCTTTCACCTCTTCAACTGGGTTCAACAACTTTACATTGGCAAGCGTGTCGTCGAATTCCTTAAGCCCGGCACCAAAAACGCGCTGATATATGGTCGCCAGGTCGGCACGAACCACCCAGGGCCGTCTTCGACTAGTACGCGATCAGCTTATTTACACGACCAATCGAGTTTCCAGCGACTATGGGACGAAGTCGGAGCCCTCACCAAGACACGATGGCAGGTACAGGTCGAACCTACTGGAGAGCCTGTCTCCAAAGTCCCTGGTTTCAGCAATCACGCATTCCCCGTCAATTTCACCGTCTACCAAGTTTCATGAGAAATTGCTCCAATGCGATTTGCATCATAACAGCTTAGCCGGAATGAACGGCGATCGCATTTCGACCCCGGTCCCGCCTCATTTCTCCTCTTATCCGGCGACTCCAACCCTATCGTGAAGCTGACATTCTCCCAAGCAGCTTTTCTACTTTGGGTTGGTCCGCATATCGACTCATACTAGCGTCTTCGCGTTTAGTATTCCCGGCTTGATCCACGACCAAAGACCACGAAATGATGAGGTATTGAATATTTTGTACTCATTGGCTCGTCTGTACTTATTTAGACTCGGCGACTCTCAACAAGCGAACCACGAAGGTGCCGTTGATCAAACCTATCTTGGAAGAGAAAGGGGTCGCCCAGCCTCTGACCGACCGGACTCGGCAGTCCCCCTGTTGCAGAAACGTCTTTTGTGCTACAAGGGATTCTCGATCTACGGATGCTCTCCCGTGATTCCTGGGACTCGGGGACAGCTTTTGCGTCATGATTTCGTGACACAAGCTGACGGCTTTATAATATGGAACCACAAACTCCAGCCAATGACTTACTCAGCAGTCAAACCACCTTGTGAAGGGGTTGGTCTGCTTAGGATATCATTAGGCACGATTATTGATTAATGATACACGATGATACTTGGCGGCTGGGCAATGCGCCGTGTTTTTATGCTCGGGCACTTGACTCATGCTAGTCCCTTTTTACGGCGTTTAGCGAATAGGTATAGAACAGGTTCAAGATAGAGGGGGCAAGATAGAATGCATATGGGAGCAATAGAATAATACGTGAACAATGCCAATTGCTCTCAACAGCAACATTGGCCAGTCTAGATGGTTCGTGGTTTGTCTACGAGTTAAATATATAACACCTGACCATCTGCCAACCTGTCAAGCAAGTGAATGCACATTTTGTAGTTGCCCAAGGTAATTGAGTTTTGTAACATGGTGCGAGAAACATTTTCAATTGGCAGCTGGGTTGAATGAGAGTTGTTGGTCTTGCCCAGTTGGTATGGCCATCTCATCCAGCACTGTATAAACATCACACCTCCCACAGGCAACTATGCAGACATCCACTACCTTCTCAACTCAAGAAGGTAGATCTTTGAGTTTGCATGATATCCCGTGACGGAAAGATACATATGAAGCCCTCTTTCTCTCGAATTTGGAGTTTAACCGCGTCAACTTCGCGCGTCGGATGAACGCCGGCTAATGGGAGCTTGCTGCCCCTCCAAGCTTGGGAGCTGATATCCCACTTTCGTCACCGGCATTTACTTCTATCAAAGAATCCAATGTCTGAGGACTGAGTGGGCAAGCTTTGTTGACTGTTGTGTTTGGTACTGCCATTTTCGCTTCTTCGGTTCTGCCCAGTCCTCTCGGAGGCTGGTGCACTGGCTCGCGCTCTTCATATAAGCTATGCCCCTACAGATAATGCTCATATCCTTTCACAATGGACGGCGATTGGGCTGAGGTATGTTTCATGATGTCTTTGCCGCTATTTAGACTTTTCATGTATTTCAAGTATTAAAAAAGGGTGCCTGTATTGCATAACCCTGAGAGGCATCATATACAGTCGTGAATAGGTGTCAAGCTTATGCTAATCCAGTTCTTCTACAGGTCACCCGGATTCCGTTCCCGCCTCCGGGCGTGCACGCGATGCCCACTCCGGTTGCGACTATGACCTTCGACAACTCTCAGGAACTTCTTTGGACAGGCAACGAATATGTACGTCGAAAAGGGTGAGACGTAGAAGCTGAACTGGCGCTGATTGGTGTTTCAGGGTCGAGTTACTTCCTTCTATGGGACCGAACTGCAGCGGTATACCTCTTTCAAAGCCCATGCATCCTCTGATGGCCCGATTCGTCAAATACTCGTCAATGAGAAAGGCATTGTTTCCTTGGGTGCTAAAGATGTGCATATGGCTATTCGGAGAGGACTGCCTATATGGCATATTAGGTAGGATGATTCAACTTCATAGTAGGTTGACTGATGCTTACCTTTGCCAGACATGACGATATGAAAGATTTGCGATGTATGAGCTTTACGTCTAAGGGAACGGCAGAGATTATCGCTGCAGGAATGCAAGACACGATGCTTGTCATTGACCTCATTAAGGGTGACGTTGTCAAACAAGTCAGGATCACTTTCTCAGTGATAAAGCTATACTAACTTCCGATAGGTGCCTACCGAACATCAGTACACGATAATGAGACGCGGGCGATATATATGCGCCGCAACTCAGACCGGCTCCGTCAACTTACTAGATCCTGTCACTTTTGCTGTCGTCAAGTCTTGGAATGCACATTCTGCTCTGATCAATGACATGGACGCTCAGCATGACTTCATCGTAACTTGCGGATATTCCTTAAGACAGGGCCAGAATTATATGCTTGACCCCTTCCTCAACGTCTTTGATATAAAGAAGATGTCATCGATGCCCCCTATCCCTTTCCCAGCTGGCGCCGCCTACGTGCGCATGCACCCGAGGATGTTGACGACTAGCATCGTTGTCTCACAAAGTGGGCAAATGCATGTCGTTGACTTAATGAATCCCAACACAAGCGACGTACGGTTGGCTAATGTTACTTCCTACTTGAGCATGTTTGAGATTGCACCCTCTGGCGAGGCAATTGCCCTCACAGATGCTGATTGCTCTATCCACCTCTGGGGATCCCCAACAAAGCTCCATTTCGTGGACTTACCAACTCCGATCGAATTCGCATCTCCTGAAGAGCCCCTACCCAATATTGATTGGGGCCCAGATACGTAAGTTGAGATAATAAGTTGCACATTTGTTCCTTCACTGATCACTACAGGCCCCTGAACATGATCGGATTGCCGCATTATCGAGAAGCCCTGGCATCTGCCTGGCCAGACATCCCCTGCGATGTTGGAGCACCTCCTGTTAAGTTTGATGCACAGTTCCTGGCAGGGCTCAAGCCGACTGAGTTTGGGATGTACGGTCGCAATACTCGGGGTTTGCGAAGAAATCAGGCTGAGAACACTCGAAACGTGAACAAATCAGGAAGCTCTGGGCTCAAGGCGCCCAAATTCCTTAGTGAAAAAGCCCGCGAGCTTGCTACTAGTAACGCCGCTGCCTCTGATAAGAAGGCTGACGAGCTGATCAGCTCCCTTACTGATATGGGACTTGAAAGCAAGAAGTCTGACGTTCCAGTCATGTATAGAACTGTTGAGATCAAATACAGCAAATTTGGTGTGGACGACTTTGATTTCGGGTTGGTATTCTCCCATTCTCGTAATGCAACGTCACTGATCAGGAATAGTTTCTACAACAACACGCGATACTCTGGACTCGAGACGCATATCTCGAATTCATATGCTAACTCTCTTTTACAAATCATGCACTTCACCCCTGTCATTCGAAATCTTGCTCTTCAGCATGCTGCTACCTCTTGCGTGAGCGAGATATGCCTGCTGTGCGAGCTTGGATTCTTGTTTGATATGCTTCAAAAGGCCGAAGGCTCGATATGCCAAGCAACGAACTTACTGAAAACCCTAAGCAATCACCCTCAAGGTATGTCGAGTGACGCTGATCCCAATCATTACTAACTGGCCCAGCCGGTCCTCTTGGTCTGCTTGAGGAGGATCCTCATGGATCATCTCTTAACGTTATGCTCCAAGGACTCACTCGCTTTCTCCTGGATAAAATCGTGCATGATTATAGGACTATCAACCCATCGTCCACTGCAATGGACCAGGTTGGTTGATTGATTGAAACTAGATGATATATACTGAATCGCCTAGGTACTGGCCACTTCCGCAACGACCTCAATCAGATGCATAAACTGTAGGAGCGAATATACTCGACCGGGATCGACATATGTCAATGATCTGCTTTATCCATCCCCTGTAAGTTCGATGCTGAATCTGTATGAGGAAAACTTATTCACTGTGAAAAGGCCGGCAGCCGAAATGCCAAGATACCACGCATCAGCTTTTCCCAAGTTCTCAAAAATAGTGTTGAAAGAGAAACGACGTCCAAAGGATGGTGTAGTCGATGTCAGCGGTACCAGACCATAGCGACGAGAAAGAGCATTCACAGCATACCAGCCGTACTCATGCTAAACACTGCCATCACAAACCAGGATCAACGACTGCTTTGGTCAACACCAGGTTGGCTTCCCGAGGAGATTGGAATCATTGTAGAGCAAGGGCAGTTCTTCTGTTACGAAGGCGAAGACCTGAAACTCCATCTCCAGAGGGGCATCCACAACATCACAGTGTATTCGCTGACAGGCATGGCCATCAACATTGAGAGTGGACAAACGCAAAAGTCACACCTAGTCTCGATGGTCAATGGTAAGCCTCTTGCGCCTCATTACCCCCCCACCGCTGACCAAAAGGATAGTGGCACATGCAGAACCAGAGGCGCCTGGGGAGTCTCGATGGCATCTTTTCAACGACTTCTTGGTGAGATCGGTCAGCACGGAGGAGGCACTCGCTTTCAACACATCTTGGAAGGTCCCTTCTGTAATTGCATACCAGATAAAAGATGAGAACAACAAGATCGATACTGAATGGAAGAACAACATCGATACTTCCATACTTTACCAAGACTTCAAGTATGCCCCAACCCGCTATAAACCTTATGTTGCTAACGTTTTTCAGTACAAACGCCGATCCGTCAACAAAGACCTATCAAGTGCTCAACCCTGAAACTGAGACCCCTGGCCCCGATACCATTATTGCACTGGACACTGAGTTTGTTGCTGTGCGACAACCTGAAATTGAAATGAACTCTGATGGTGAGCGGGAAACCATACGGCCGATAGTGTACGCACTTGCTCGTGCATCAGTTGTCCGCGGTCAGGGGGAAAACGAAGGGACACCCTTCATCGATGATTACATCAACATCAAGGAACCGATTGTCGACTATTTGACATCGTATTCGGGAATCACTGAACAAGACTTGGATCCTAGAGTTTCAAAACATAGTCTCCTGTCATTGAAGATGGTATACAAGAAGATGTGGATTCTTCTTAACCTCGGATGC